AAGTGTTCAAAGTGTTCATGCACTAAAATACTTAAAGTGAACCTGTGTCCAGACTATGCACACTAAAGTATTTATATATTGTCAACAAGCAGAAAAGCTATTTAAAACAAGCCCAATTTTCCCTGTAACTATAGGTATTGTGGGAAAATTTGTTTTCAAAGTTTACAAGAGGAAATTAAATCATAAAGGTTTTTCTATTACTTTTCATTGCACCAAAATCCTAGCAGACTGTCAGCACTCTGATTTAAAAGGAGAACTATGAGGTAAGTGTTTTTCCCGATAGTTCTCCTCGGGGTCACGGGAGGACATAAACTAGCGTCCTCCCGTGACCCAAAGCTCAGTATCCCGCAGCCGGGACATTACTGTCGAGATCCACCCAGCTGCCTGATTTACAGCTGGCTCTGCCTATCTAGAGGCAGAGCCAGCTGTACCCGCCCCCTCCCCCATCCGTTCTGCCAGTCAGCGCTGGAGGATCAGAGAGGGGAGGGGGGAATCCCTGCAGGGAGCTGTGAGTGGCAGTCACGGCTCTCTGCAGGAACATGATCGAGACGTGAGCAAACGACGTTATGTGTTCGCTCACTTTCCGATCTATTGAGCCGACGTGTGGCAGTTTCATTGTCACACGTCGGCTCGAACTATGAGGTTGAGTGAAAATCACTCACCTCATAGTTCTCCTCAAAGCATATTTTATAAGCTGTTAGAAACCAACTGGTACCAGACTTTAGACTCTTTGTTGTGATCAACAAAGATCTTTGAAAATTAAATACATCTCAGTACAAACAGCTAGAAAGATCAGAGATAGTATGTTTTAACCCTTTCGCTGCCAAGCCCTCCGGAACATTTTTCAAATCAGCTGGCCAAGCCATTGTGATTTTTTAATGGATCCCCGCTGCCACAGACCCTACAAGCAGTGGGGATCCATGGAGTCCCTCATCCCTCCCTGGGATGGCTCCAGGGGGGGATGAGAGACTCCAGATGCCGGGGGGGGGGGCGCCCGGTATTTTTGATAATAGCGGTCATCAGCTTATAGTAGAACTGTAAATGCCAGGTCCGTATGGCATACTGACCTGGCCAGCTGGAAGCACTTTTGTAGGTCCGTATGCCATACGTCCATGGCAGCGAAAGGGTTAAAGCTCTTTTACTTGTTAAAAATATTTTTTAATACGCACGCACTTCATGAGAGGTGTGCAGTACACAATATAAGGTGCTTGCCTTTTGATATGTGCGACAGCCCCACTACATGCGACTACAGAGTATTAGTTGATGGAGCATATGCATATCTACCCACTGCGCATGTCCTGAAGAAATGGCATGTACATGCATACGATGGGGCTAGGTGGATGACCGGACGTGTCTGTATCATGTTCCCCTGTGTTCTTGTATTTTTGTACTTTTGTATATTGCAAAATCGAAATAAAATCTTATTATTTAAAAAAAATATATATTTTTTAAATAACACAATCTTCAGAGTCAGGGCACAGGTGCAATTGAACAAATCAAATGCATTAAGAAGACATGTTATTCTGAACAGATACAGTATAGCACTTGCACGCCTTTCAGCTTTATGAGGTGCTGCCAGGCAGAATGTTCTATTTCTGTATATTGTCATCCACTGTCATCAACAGAGCAGAAGTAACTATATGCATGATGTTTATGGGAAACTTCAGAATGGCTTTCTAAGAAGATCAATCAGAGTTATTCAAACCACATGAAAGGGCACCTAACAAATCTGTTGTATTTTTAAAAGAAAACATCTCAAAGTGACATTTATGAACAATTATTATTATCATCATGGCAATAAAGCAATGTCAATTTCTTTTTTTACTGGAGAGGCAGATATAGTTACTGCACCGTAGAGCTCTCCGTTCCCCCTACGGGTATGAGTACACATGTCATACTGCATGTATATGAAGTTCTTTGACAGTTTAGTTATGCTTTTTGATCTGCAATTACTAAGCAAATTATCAGCCATAAATGACAAAGCACAGATAAATTAGAAAACAGAAAACAAATAAATGTACAGTATGTGCAGTGGATGGATGCATGAAGGTGATACAATTTTTTAAAGCTTACCTGTATAAAGAGCAGTTCATGCAATACTGCAATTCCAGGCCATGTGCAGCCCACTGGAGCATAGAGAACATTGGTCTCCAAGTTAATAAAGACTTTTCTGAAGTAAGAACTTATGTAGGGCCACCATGTGTTATGTACCTTAATGTCACATTTAGGTCATGGAACCACAGCCGACGCACCAAGCAATGCAGCCAAAACTTGCTTTTTTTATGGGTAAAATGGGCGCAGATTAAAACCTCTGTCAGGTTTTATTAGATTTTGTGCCCCTATTGAGGAGATTTGTCCTTACGTCTCACCCCAGTGTCAATGGCCATCATGTCAGGAATATCCACTAAGGGAATTCAGACAGATATACAAAAACTTTTTTTACATTTAAAGCAGAGTCAAAAGGATTAAAACCTCTGGCAGGTTTTTACTGCTACAGCAAAACGTTTCACAGCACACTCACCAGCCAGCATACAAAAAAAAAAAACTTGTCCAACCGCTAAGGTTAAAAACAAAGGTTTTAGTTACACGTCTTCTGCAGAAAATGTGAAAGCCGCACAGCCTCGCCAAGGCACCTCTATGTAGTGCGGTCCTAACTCTAACCTATGAGAGTCTCCATCTTGGAGCACATGTAGCAAAAGATAAAATTGAGTCCAGGTGCGGCTTCCACATATTCTGCAGAAGACGTGTATCTAAAACCTCTGTTTTTAACCTTAGCGGTTAGACAAGTTGTTTTTTTGCATGCTGGCTGGTGAGTTTGCTGGGAAACTTTTTTGCTGTTGTACTGTATAAAACCCTTCCATTTGCACCTTGCTTTAAAGCTGGTGATAAGTTGATGAGTGCGTTTGCCATTTGTTTTGCTTGACTGATATTGGTGCAATGACACATTAGGGGTCTCAGCTGCCGTTGTGATGTGTGGGGTCCCTTGTGTGTCCCTGTGCCTTTAAGGGGGTTGGACTGCCTCCTGGCAAACCTGCACCCATTTTTATCTTTTGCTGACAGCAGTAAAAACCTCCTATGTAGTGCGGTCCTAACTCTAACCTATGAGAGTCTCCATCTTGGAGCACATCTAGCAAAAGATAAAAATGTCAGTCAAGCAAAACAAATGGCAAACACACTCATCAACTTATTACCAGCTTTAAAGCAAGGTGCACATGGAAGGGCTTTATACAGTACAACAGCAAAAAGTTTCCCAGCACACTCACCAGCCAGCATGCAAAAAAAAACTTGTCTAACCGCTAAGGTTAAAAACAGAGGTTTTAGATACACGTCTTCTGCAGAATATGTGACAGCCGCACCTGCACTCAATTTTATCTTTTGCTACATGTGCTCCAAGATGGAGACTCTCATAGGTTAGAGTTAGGACCGCACTACATAGGAGGTTTTTACTGCTGTCTGGGTCTCAGGTGTTCCAGGGAAGGACAGGAAGTGAGGGTAAAGCACACTAATACACTACAGAATTTTGTTCTGTAAGTGACATATGGCTTGGCTAGTGAAAGCAATACAATGGGCCAGGAAACCAACAGAGGTAAGCATTTACTAAATTATTTGCAGGGGAACAATCAGTTCAAACAGACCACCAACACTTGGGCACTTAATTGCCCATTTTTAATGTCAAAATGTTAGCTACACAGCAGCACTCAGACTGGGAGAAAAGTCAGCACTCTGGCAGTTCCGGTCTACCATGGTTTCATGGGAAGGAAATGTTTTAACTGTGCAGACAGCATGTGCTTGCAGGTTAAAAAAAAATAAGACATCTATGTGGGGCACACAATGGAAATCCAGGAGATTAAAAATGAGAAATATGGGGCGACAGGTTTTTTTTTCCATAATTGTATTTTGGGTCATGGGAGGACATATACTGTGTCCCCCCGTGACCCAAAACTCAGCATATAGCGGGCTATTGCCCGTTATATGCTGAGAGCGCTGCACCCATGACTGATCCCAACAATACAGTCAAGATCCACCACGCTGGCTAATTGACAGCTGGCTCTGCCTCTCTAGGTCAATGATGGAGGATCGGAGAGGGGTGAAATCCCTGCGGAGAGAGGTGACTCACATTCACCGCTCTCTGCAGGGGGTTGATCGGGAAGTGAGCAGATCTGCAGTATGCTTTCGCTTACTTCCCGATCAGTATAGCCAGCGTGTGACAGTTTCAATGTCACACATCGGCTCTAACTATCGGGATGAGTGTAATTCACTCACCCCATAGTTCTCCTTTAAGACTTTTGCCTAAAGTTCTGCTTTAAATACAAACAAACTTACTCCACAAGATAAAAAGGGAGGAGTAGAGTTATATAACCATCAGTAAGCTACTGCTTATATTAAAAAAACACCAAGCTGCTCAGTGTTGGGTCCTGGGATAAAGATATTCTGGTGCGCATGTTTGGGAGTCGCATCACCCCATCCTAGCCATTAAAGAACAGAGAAGAAGACTCTGTACGTGAAGACCAGGAGAATATGGTATCTTTTTGCTTGGAGATAGCATACAGCAAGTTAGTAGTGCTAGGGCCATAACTGCTCTGAACAAAGTGGACATGGTGAACGGGAGTTACAAGCTAAAAGCACATAGGGACAAGAAGATGTACAAAGGCAAATAGCACAGTTAACTGGGGAGGTTAGGTTAGCAATACTATGAGAACAGAAAATACCCCAAAGAAGCTATTTAAAATAATTCCCTCCATTAAAAGAGAAAAATTGAATGGCAAATGGGCTAAATGTATAGAAATATTCATAGCACAGATCAGCTATTTAGAAATTGTTACCACTGTAAAACAAAAAAAGGAAAATAAATAAATACATTTAAAACCGCAAATAATAGGCTAGATGGATAACAATCTCAAGAACGTGACTCATCTTTTGTGATACCTAGGCTTTCATGTGCAACAATATAAAACATTTTCAGTACAATGCGACATAAAACATTGTATTCGCATACTCACTGTTCCGAATATTGTCCCAGTTAACATTAGCAAAAAACGTATGACAGCATAAATCTTCAAATTTCAATCTCTCCCTTTGTCGACATAGCAAGCTTTGGATCAAGTCTAGAAGGGTTTTGCTGATTTTTGGTTCTTCTGGAAATTTTAGGAAACGCTGCAAAAAAAAAAAAAAGTTGAGAAATTCTGTGGAATAGTGTTTACTTACTTCCTACATATATGATTAATAAGATTGAGACACCTGAAAATTCATGATGTTATTAAAGGTTTTTGTTGCGGTTCCCTCCGTGAATGGAGTTTTTCCATAAAACATTTCATACGCAATGATGCCAACAGACCACCAATCACATTCAGGCCCATAAGTGGTTTTTCCATCGCCGTTCATCACTGTGAGAACTTCAGGAGCCATGTAGTCTGGTGTACCTATAGGAAGGTGGGCATTCACCTGACGTACAAGGAGAGAAGTTCATGAGCTATCAGTCTGGGAAGATACAAGCACACTTGAAGAATCCTGGCATACTTACAATTTTATTTGAAGTCATTCTTGCTGCGGAGCCAAAATCTACAACTTTAACATGACCGGTCCGATCAATGAGAATATTCTCTGGTTTAATGTCTCTGTAAAACATAATTACTTTTGATTAAACTTCAAAACCCATAACATAAGCAAAAGCAATTCTAGCTTTCAGGTTGGTAATTAAAAGGTATGTTTCTTTTTTATATTTTATGTCCTACCTTGGATGAGTATTTTCCCAGTAGAGCCACATTTTGTGCGACACACTGCAATCAGATGGGCTGGTTCACTGGGAAGGTCATAGAAAGGTTTTCTACCTTGAATATTCCTTTGTTCTGAGTGCTTGGCCTTGGAGACTAGTTACTAGAGATGAGCCTGAGCTTGGTGTGAACCCAGTTTGCCTAAGTTCACCCAAGCCTGTTCAAAACTGTGATTGCCACTCCCTCATCCTGACCCAATCGGTGGCGGTAGTTGCGATGAAGGCATTCCCCACCCCTTTTTGACATATAGCTGCGGGGCAGGGAATGCACCTCTCCACAACTGATTAGGTAGAGAGGAGGCAGTCACAGTATTTGAGCAGGCTTGGGCAAACTCAGGTTAACTGGGTTCACACCAAGCCCAGGCTCATCACTACAGGTAAATATACCAAGGCTGGATACCATATAACCCTTTGCTCTTGAGAAGTGGGAACAGAGAGTGGGAAAACAAACTTCAGCCCGATTAAGCCATGAATAAACTTACCTGTGTACATAACCTAGCTGATGAATGCTATGAGTAGCCAGAATTAATTCTGCCAAGTAAAACTGAGCCATACATTCATCAAACTGCTCATCATAACGGTTTAATAAAGACAGCAGATCGCCTCCAGGCTGGTACTGCATGACCTGTTGAATATTTTCACAATTATTATCATGCTTTCACAAACAAGATTCAATGCTATATTTATGCAGTATAAAAACACAGAGTCAAAGTACTTATTACTGCCTCTAGCTTACTGTAACATGTAATACTGTGGTACATCAGATACTAGTAGAAAAGCAAGGTTAAAAATAGAATATATTGTATTGTAGAATTGTTTTTATGTATTCCCACTGTAAGTAAGGATGTTGTAGGTAAATGTACATTTAATTCTGGATAATACGATTAAACAAGCATTATCCTAAATTAATGAGGGTTGGCTGAAACAAAACTGAGAGACCAGCCAGTTCAATATATGAACCAACATGACGTTTAAGGGATCATGCACACGTCAGTAAATGGCCATATAGCATATAATTTGTATTTTCTTTGCGTGGAGTGACAGGTGCACCATACAGCCTCCCTCCGCCAGTCAGCCTGTAGAAATCAAAACAGGCAGCATGTATGTATGTATGTGTGTGTGTATATATATATATATGCAAATATATGTAAATCCGAGTGGCTGCATGCATACAGGGCTGTACACTTATCCCCAAATGCAGACTGGCTGCCTTTGGGGAGGAGCCTAGGGCCCTGTACATTTGTAGCCTCTCAGATTTGTGTATATTTGCGTTCAGCTGCTGCTTACCATTGATTTTTGACTGCTACAGTTTGTCCAGCCCTTACTTTAGGGCCAACTCACACTGTAGCAATCATTTGCAGTAACTTAACATACATGCATGAACATTGTGAATGGACAGCCAACGCACCACAAGCACTGTATGAAGCATGAAGCTTTTTATTTTTTTAAGTTTTGAATGCAGTAGAGAGGGATTAGAACACTTATCAGGTTATTATTGCTGTCTGTGTCCCCCCGGAGATTCGTCCTCTCTATTTGCCCTGGTGACTGTTAAAGGAGAACTATGAGGCGAGTGCTTTTCTTCACTCACCTCATAGTTCTAGCCGACCTGTGACAATGAGATTGTCACATGTCGGTTCAGTAGCTCGGGAAGTGAGCGAACACATACCGGCGTTCGCTCACTTCTCGATCCTATCACGGCTCTCTGCTGTGACAGGGGAGGGGATGGATTCCCCCCTCCCCGCTCCGATCCGCCAGCGCTGACTGGCGGAACGGACAGGGGAGGGGGCGGTTACAGCTGGCTCTGCCTCTAGATAGGCAGAGCGAGCTGTCACTCACGCAGCTGGGCTGATCCAGACATAATTGTCGGGATCCACTTCAGCTGCGGCGTCTCAGTATACCGCGAGCGGTAGCTTGCGGTATACTGAGCTTATGGTGACGGGAGGATGCTAGTTTGTGTCCTCCCGTTAACCTAAGGAGAACTATGGGGAAAAGCCCTAACCCCATAGTTCTCCTTTAAGAAAATCCCAAACTTTCGGTTGTCATCTGAAAAGGAATAGAAGGGAAATCTTCAATAGGTACACTAGTTTTGGTGGCTCTACTGACCACCAGAGATTTCCCTCCCTTTGATGGGATTTCCTCTCACTTCCTGTTGTGGCTGTGAGACAGGAAGTGAAGGGAAATCTCCCAAAGGAATGCAATTGGCAAAAAAAAAAGCTCCCTTAACCCTCCCTTAACAAAACAAAAAAAAAAGTTTTGGCTTCATGTCCTTCTTTAAGTATTTTTCTACAGCTTATCTGACGATGCCATTTGCTCAGGTAAATGTTGTATACTACCACTACAATAATATTATCATGCCAGTGACAATAAGCTTTCCTGTAACTTAATATGTCACTCACCAGATAAAGGTGCTCCTTATCTTGAAATGCATAATGTAATGTAGGTATCCATGGACTTGTGTGATTACTTAATATGCTTCGCTCTTCTTCAAAAAATGAAACCTAAAACAGGTGACAGAAATTATTCTCTTGAATTCTCCCTAGACATAATAACATGTTATTCAGATTTAAAATAAAAAAATATATAAAATGAACTTCAAATTTACCAAATTTCAGTTTAATAGCTGCTATATCCAAAGCCAAACTACATTACATAAAAAGGTTTAAAATAATTTCAAGTACAATTATATATGTTTCAGTTGATAGTGGGGAATGATACTTTCCAGCACAGAATTGATTACAAGTGTGTTGATCAAGGAATCCCACTAATTGCATTGTATTCTGACAGCGGCCACTGGCAGCTGTCAGAATACCCAAACAGAGCCAGCAGCTATTGGCTGACGGCTCTGGTTGTACAAAGACTATCCAGGCAGCTCCTGTCGATCAGCTGATTGAGGGATGTCGGCCGCAAGGGTGCTGACAGCAGCACACACTGTACGAATTTGGGGCGGTTCCTCAAAAACCGGACAAAATTCGCACAGTGTAGGGGCACCTGAATTCCACAAACCAGTTAAAACTGCTACCATTTTGCTGCTTTCTTCTACCTCCAGCACTGCCGTACATAGAACATGCGGCAACAAACCATACAAGAATAAATGTCAAATATCTCAATGACTGCTACAGAAGAGTTCACCTAACAGATGCATGAATGTTATGCAAATAATGAATGTAAACTATTTTGGGGGTGAGCAGAGGATATAAGGTAGCCCTTTAAAGCTGGCCATACACAGATGGGTGAATTTATCAAAACTGCAGCAGAATCTGGAGCTTCAGTTTGCTCAGTTAAGCTTTGTTCAGTTAAGCTTTGAAAATGAAAGAACTTGATTGGTTAGTGTGAGCAACTACTCCAGTTTTAGAAAATCCCCCTAGAGTGTTTTTTGTCCGATTCTTGATGAACTGGCCAAAATTCACTCCGTGGGTGGCCCTGTCGGCAGCCTCCCATTATACAAAGTAGCTGGGCAGAAAACTGTCGGCCGATCGTTGACTGAAGCCGATCGTTGACTGTTCTGGTGCTCCGACAGCGGCACACCCGCCACTGTCACAGTACAGCAGCAATTGTTAACCATGTAACTTAGCAAATATTGTAGAGGTGCACCGAAATAGAAATTAACAAACTGAAACGAGACCGAAATAAAAACAATTGGCAGGCCGAAACTGAAAATGTTTTATTTTATTTTTTTCAAATTTCTTTAATATTTTATCTTTATTTTTTATAAACTGTTTAATTTTTATTAATTCATTTTTTTATTAAATATTTTTATTTTTTACTTTACTTTTAGGGGCTGCGGGGAAATATTGGGGCTAAACAGACCCCTAATAATTCCCTTTTAAAATAGAAAAAGAGATTGAGAACACAGTCCTCAATCTCTTTTTCTGTATCCCCTGTTATCAATGAACAGAAATCTTCCATACTGAGTGTTCCTGTTCATTGATAACATGATGACATTGTGTGTTTACTATAATCACAATCATGAATGAACAGGAGGTGATTTAGCTCACTTCCTATTCATTCATAATTATGGATATAGTAAACATACCATGTCCTCAATTATGTGCAAACACTCACTGATCACTGAGTGTTTGCTCTCGCTCTCCTCTCTGACAGCTGTCACTGGAGGCTGAGCGAGCAGAGAAGGGAGGAGAGCTCAGCCTCCTGTGACAGCGCGGGCTGTCTCCGCCCCCACACCGCTCTGCCGGACTGTGATAGGTGGCTGAGCGGTGTGGGAGGAGAGACACCGGCCGATCACATCGCTCGGTCCGGCTGTCACTTTCTCTCCTCCGTGCTGGGACACAGAGCAGTGTCCAGCGGGGAGGAAAGAACGCAGGGATTTGCCGATGTATCGGCAGGAAAATTGCACTTTTGGCATTTAGCTAAGAGCGCCATTTTCGGCCGATATGTTTCGGCGGCCGATATATTGGTGCATCCCTAAAATATTGAATAAGAAATATATAGCGCCCAAGTACCTGTTCCTGTGCCAGTAGTGCTTTCTTCTTCATCACTTTCATAGCAAAGGTTTCTCCAGTCACTTTCTCTTTGACAACATGCACATCTGCAAAATGGCCTCGTCCAATAACATTCTTCACTTCAAAATCCTTCACACTGGGCTGAAGCTCATGTAACTCTGCTACAGTGTCACAATCTAGGAGGTGGAATATTATCACAGACCAGAGACAAAATATTACAGTGCCAACTAAAAAAACTTGATGAAATTAAATGGTGCACATGGTTTTAAAAAAGGGTGCCATTTTAAATAAAATGTAAAACAAAATAATAATAAAGTTAAAAAAAAACAACATAAGACTAACTAAATGCAAACAAACAATTGTATCTCCTTTGATTGCAATAGGTCAAACAGCTTCACCCTGGACCTAGGATACCTGGGGGTCCACAGGGACTCCAAGATCAATTTGAAGACTAATACAGGTACTTTAGTACTGTTGTTACCATACCCACTTTTGAAGCCAGGTCAGGTCCCCCTTTTCTAGCACTTAGTTATAGCTGCATGACCTATCGTGAAACCAGTATGCTAGATCAGTGTTGCTCAAACCTCTCCTAGTGTCCCACCATCGGTACCTGTTTTGTGGGCATCAATACTAGAATCTAAATTGCAATAGTGAGTGAGATGCTAATGACATGTTGCCTGCAACATGTTCACTGTTGATAAGGAGCGAGAAGAGGTTTAGGAAACATTGCCCTAGATCAACATAACTGAATACCCCCTGTTACCAGGTCACCTATTTCTACAAAAGATTTCCCATAAGATTATATGTGCAATGAATGTACTGTATAACATGTACTGTATGTTATTTACCTGTAAAAGCCTCCCTTGAGTAGACAGCTAAAAGCCCTGAGCCCTGAGACTGCTGCTCGGTGTAAGCATCTTGGACAGCCTCAGAGTATTTTCCTTCATTCCTGCCCCGGCAGCTACATGAGAGGTTGTGTAGGGAGGTGAGGAGAGGGGCAAAGATGCTAAAGAGTAATCAGAAACTCCCAGAAGAAAAGAGGACTCTGTGCACAGAGAGAAGGTTGGGCTAGCAAGTTCAATTCATTGCAATTAAATTTATAAAATATATATTTTATGGAAAGAATATATTTAATAAAAATATATTTTATGAAAAGAAGAATTTGAAGTAACCACTGTGTGCTGGTTGAAGATTTGCCATAATGTTGACATTTTGGCACACGTACCTTACAAGTATATCCTCCCCCATGGCTGTGCGGCGACTGTCCCATGCCACCATTTCCGGGTCCTCCTCGGCCATTGGGTGTCCACGAACGATGTAACTCCTGTGCATGCACACAGGACTTGCATCCTTCCTAGCATCAGGCCCTTTCACAGCATCTTAGAAATGCCATGAATGAGCTGAATGTGTACACGGCATGGCACATGAGTCGTGCAGTGTTTACAGAAAAAAAATTAAAAAATCACTAGGGGAAAGAATTGCCTCCCAGAATTTTTTTTCAACTTTCAACTTAAAATACTTGACTTTTCTGCACAGTTACCTGCAAGCTGGTGACAGGGTCTCCAACGTTAAAATAATAGAAACTCTTCCTATAGTATGGTGAACAGAAACCCAGAATGCAGAAAAGCAACTACCTGATTTCCGAAATACATTACTGACCACAATCCCAAATAAAGCAAAGGTAAACCATAGTGAACCTTACATTTTTTGACAAAGTTTGCTACATGTTTGATCTTCATTAAGGCCGGGCTGTTGCATTCTTCGAAGAGTACAAATAGGGAATCTAGAAGTCCTTCTCTGCTGAGGGCTGACAGCTGTTGTTGAACTACACATGATGACCTTCCCTAAAAAAAATTAGCAAAATGATTATATACAAAGCAATGTTTCCTTTAAATAGACCTGCATACAGTGGCTGCCACTGCTGACCTCCGCCTGGAAATGTTGAACAGCTGTCTGGCTGTCATGAAAACTTTCCTGCTTCAAGAGGAACTTTACCCACAAATTAAATGGTCTCCCAAACATTTACTATTAAAGGAAAACTATTGGGAGAGTAAAATATCTTCTTTCCAATAGCTTGAGTCGGCTTGTGACACTGCAGCTGTCACACACCCACTCCATAGCTCGAGAACTGAGCCATCACAATCCGCTGATCACTCAGCTCACCACTTTTCCCTGCAGAGAACGGTGACTGCCCCGCAAGAATTCCCCCTTCCCCTATCTGTTCCTCCAGTTCTTGGAAAGTGGGCGAATACAGCTGGCTCTGCCTCTACAGAGGCAGAGCCAGCTGTCAATCAGGCAGCGGGATGGACCCCGAAAATATTGTTGGGATCTTTCCCAGCTGCAGCGCACCTCTGTGCTGTCAACAAATAGCAGGCAGTAGTTATATGCTGACTTTGGGTCACAGGAGTACATTAGTTAAAAAAAAAAAAAAGGTTTGGCTAGAGTTCTCTTTTAAGAAATGCCAATTGTTGTCATTGTGCTTATTTCAGCTCTCAACTGAACCACATGTGCACCACAATGGCAACTGCAATCCAAAGAGAGGCCAAGATGGCATCTTTGTCAGGAGTGTAGTTCTGCTTCAATACTTTACTGACCCAGCATGGAGATAAGATCTTCTAACTTTCCTGATTTCATTTGTTCTACGTCACTGCCTTTACAGGACAGGCAAGCAATTAGAATATTCAAAAGGTCAGCAATGAGAGGCTCACTATTTATCTCAGAACGGGTTTACTTAAAGCATTTATCCCACCCCTTCTTAACACAAAACAGACATTGCATGGGATTGCCACAGACCAAGTGAATTACTGCATGGTATGGAAGTTTTTCTCCGACTGTCCTCTGTCATATGCTGGTATTGTAAACATAAGGCTGTAACAAGCAGTGTCATCCAGCCTGTCGCCCTGGGGACACTTGCTAGAAGAAAAATCAAATCAAACGGAAGAAAGGAAAAAAATTCTCCAGAGAAAAATTTTTAGCTCCTTACTCCTGACGCTAGGCAAAAAACTGGAGACTTGTCAGCAGGTGGGGGGTTTGGCCACCGGCAGGGGCCGCCCCTAGGCTGTAATTGGTCTTTAGTTTTGTGCCTAGCGTCCTTCTCCTGCAGGTGGCGATATTACCCTACCATTCAGGATCTACGATCTGTTGCCTGTGTCCTTCAATGAACGGGAGAGAAACTTATGTTTAAAGCTCAACACACACACATTGCAATCTGATTGTACATTCTTCTTTAGATCTACCAACAAGGGCCTGCTGTAAACTGATTGGATGGTTTAGGTAGGCCCCAATTCACATAGTTTTGGTAGATCTGAATCGGTTTGTACAGAGATTGTATGGTCAGATTGTAAATGTTTATGGTGAGCTTAAGACTATAATATTATACTCCACAAAGGTGTTCTTTACCTATATGGGGTGAGTGAAGTTGTTTTTTTTCTTTTTAAATAATAGCAAGCTGCAACACCCACCTGTCAGGGCCTGCGCCTAGTTGCTTATTTGAGAGTATTCCATTTTTTTTTCAGAATAGCGTACTTTTACAAAAGGGTATATTAAGGGAATGCATAAGAACCTGTCTTCAGGACAGGCAAAGGATTGAAACTGGATCTATCACACAGTTACCAGCAAGCACGTCCATTTATACCTCTTTAATGTCTTTAAAGTTTGAAGCCAAGTCAGATTCAATTGGTACTGGGTAGAAGAACATCTGGGAATACTGGGGACTGCAGACCTTTTGTAGCCGATACACTTTGTTTCTTTGTCTTCGAGAAGGGGGTTTTAACTTGATGAATCTCAATGCTTTGTTCTTAAAGCAGAACTCTGGGAAGAATTATTATTAACCCTTGCAGTGAAGCTACCTCCGCTTTGTAAGGGTTAACTGTTCATTTTGGTCTAGGGAGGAAAATAACAAGGCTATACTCACCCGATCCTCGGAGTTGGCCAGCTGTGACAGCACTCCCTCCAGCCTCTCTCCTGCTACACTGTAGTAATGGAATGTCCTATGTCCTCACATCACGTCGGCTCGGACTATGAGGATGAGTGATTCTCACTCACCTCATAGTTCTCCTTTAAGCTTTTTGCCTGATGCTGTGAGTCTTCTTTCCTGGAGTCTATTTACACTAAAAACATAAATCTGGCGCAAATATATCCCATGAGACCATATGCGAGTTCAAGCACTCGCAATTGCTATGATAAATTCCCCCACTGTGTATAGAACATGATGATTTATAGGACCGCTGCAACGGAGGGGGAGAAAGGCTCCAGGGATCAGTCTAAAGGTGCCCATACACCTGCCGATCATCGTATGATAATCGCGGGAAATCCAGCGATCGTACGATAATAGGCAGGTGTATGGAAGGCGTGCGACCGTTTCCACTGTACGGTCCCACGTCTTTTGTCTCCCGAGCAGGCTCGAAAACCCGTACGATTGTCGGCGGGTTAGTGGCGTTCTTGGGAGACAAATGCCGCACGGGCCAGTGTGTGCAAGCACACACTGCCCGTGCCGCATTGGAGTCATCGGAAGCCCGCCTCTCAGCGGGGCGGGCTTGCGATGATCCCAAGTACGATCTGCCTGTCCAAGATGGGCAGATCGTACAAGCTTGAGTGTATGGCCAGCTTTAGAGTGTGCTGGCTGAGAGAATTAGTTGAGTATAACTTTGTTCATCTTCCTTCCTAGACCAAAATAAGCATTTAACCCTTGCAGTCCAGGGGTAGCCCCACTGCAAGGATTAATTTTCACCAGAGTTCTTCTTTAAGTAACGCAGATCCCTAAAGCGTATGTAGAGCCAAAACTTATTTTGTAGCTTCTGCATAGAGAAGGGAAGGATTAGAACCCCTGCCAGTTTATTTTTGCCGTCTGTGTAACATTGGGCAATCCCCCTTTACTTTCTGTGAGAGAGGCACAATAGAAAGTTAGAGGAAATCTCCCAAAGTAAGGGGAATTCCCCGCATAGACAGTTGTCCCTGGAACAGATGTTACCATTGAAAGTTTTTCCATTATTTCTTGTTCTGGGGATTTCCTCTCACATTCTTTCTTGGTGTCAATGATCATCAGTACAAGCAGAGGGGTATATCTCCCAAAAGGGAACACAGCCAGCAATAAAAAGTTGCGGGTCTTGCCCTTCCCCACTATATCCAAAAATAAATAAATAAATGTAAAGAAAACACTTCAAATAAAGATTATTCAACATTTTTGAGACCATGATCTTCTTACTGGTCCACTACATTGTTAAGACGTAGCATTTTCTCGCTGAATGTTGTTACCTAATTTACTATCATTTCCAGTGATAAGATGCATAAAAAATTCCGGCTGAATTACCATTTGTTATGTCTCTTGGCTTGAGCACCTTAAACAATTTTGTTAGACATATCAAGTGTAGTTTTATACTTTTTGTATGTGACTGCCTTTACAATAAAGACTTAAATACATTCACTTTGGTGCTAGCTACGCGTCACAACTTTAAGATATTTTTAAACTGTTGACCAGTGTCAGCATCTGTTTCCTTGGTAATTTTTGCAGTAGCCTAGTTTAATTGTGTTCAAACCATTACATCTTTATGTGCAGATCACACAAAAGCACCATGCATGTTAATGAGTTTTGCGCAGGAAGAAACTTATCTGTATATTGACAAATGTGGAAACTAAAAGAAGAACATACCGTATATACTCGAGTATAAGCCGAGTTTTTCAGCCCATTTTTTGTGCTGAAAAGTGCCCCCCCTCGGCTTATACTCGAGTCAGCGTCTCGAGCTGGTTCCCTGTACTATGGATCATTTAACCCATTCATGTTAGCAGAGGATCATTGTAAATGTATTGTTGCAGGCACTCTATATGTACATGTACTATATACTACATATAGAATGCACTGAACAATAGATTTACAATTATCCTCTGCTAATATGAATGGGTTAAATGATCCGTAGTACATGATATGTAGCCCTGTACCCCCTTTTTCACTTACAGAGCTAGGTTATTGTTTTTCTTTTTAAAAAAAATGTATGTAATTTTATTGGTATCTATCTTCATTTTGTACATTTACCAGTAGCTGCCTCATTTCCCACCCTCGGCTTATACTCGAGTCAATATTTTTTCCCAGTTTTTTGTGGTAAAATGAGGTACCTCGGCTTATATTCGGGACGGCTTATACTCGAGTATATACGGTACGTCTCTGGGGACCTTGTTCACCTCACTGTCACCCAACAATGAACACAACCACAGAGTGACTATCCGATTAACCGATTAATCGAACTTAATAATCGGCTAACTAATCAATTTTGAAAATAATCGTTAGCTGCAGCTCTACACATAACACCTACATAATAGTGTAGGCTAATTAAGGAGTATTGGTTTGTTCCTCAGTTTCACTGTTCGCTGCCTGGGAGAGTACGTTTGCTGCAAAATAATAAATGTCTTTTCATAGAGCAGAGTACTGTGAGATTCAATCCAACTTGTTTTTAACCAAGCTCTGTTTACTGCACTGTGCATTTATGTTCTGATCATGGAAATTACCATTTAAATAAGAAGCTTTTTCTATCTGCTGTGAAAAGTGGTGGGTGGATTTAATCCCAAGCATATAGTCAAGAATTTTACCACGTAATTAAGTTGCTGCTTTTAATAATATCCCTTGATAAAATCACACTAATTAGTTCACACCAGCCCAGGGTCATATACTAAAGCTGGCCATTCACTGGTCAAGGCCACCCCAACCCTCCTCATTCAAGTTTTTCAATCATCTTCTGTCAAAGGAGCCAGTTTGAAAAATCTCGGCCAAACAGCCGCAGTCACTATTTTGAGAATTTTGACAGCAGCACGCTTGTCAGTACAGGAGCCTGGCAGGGGGAATGGCATGCTGGATGGATGGCAGAATCAATTGCTTATTCTCATTCAGTTTAGGTTTACAATACAGAAACATGAAATTAATAGGATGATTCTCGTATGAGAATCGCGGGAAATCCCGCGATCGTACGAGAATTGTGCAGTGTATGGAAGGCGTGCGACCGTTCCTACTGTACGGTCGCACGACTTTTGTATTTCGAGCATGTTCGAAAACCAGCCGAGAATTGTACGATTTTCGGCTGGTTTGAATCATGCCCGTTCAGCATTGCAGTCATCGGAAGCCCGCCCCTCAGGGGGGCGAGCTTGCGATGATCGCAAGTACGATCTGCCTGTCCAAGATGGGCAGATCGTACGTTTTTTAAAGTACTTTACAACCCTTGCAAGACAAAAATCTTGCGAGGGTTGTAACGTGTATGGGCACCTGAAAACTTGATGTGATGTACTTTACTATTGCAGTTCTTTCTTTTTTGGGTACCTGATGTTCCTGTGTGGCATCTTGGAGGAATAGCTTTTCCGTTTATCTGAGGATCGCTCATCATCTCCTTGTGTGTACTGCCCGCCATTCTGATTTATATGAATCATCGAGAGATCTGGATTTATTTGCCTAATATCTTGGAGGAATTGCTTGAAGGATCTTTTTGGACCAGATGATTTTATAAAGATCACTTATTATCCTCTTATATATGCTGCCCACGGTTGTTTTTTTTCTTTATGACTTATTGAAATTTTGTGTTTTATTAGTCTGGTGGGTGGATTTTTTTCATTTTTTTTACACGAACACTGTGGATGATTTTGTCACGTTCTATTAGGATATTTATGAGAATTTGTATATTATTATGGACTATTAGTTTTGTTTTTTATGTACTCTACTTGGTTACACTGTTTATGTTCTAGGGCAATTTTCTTTTTGTAATATTTAATATTCGCACCATTTTATTTGGGATTATTAATTTGCATTTTTAGATTGGATCTGTAGCGCCCTCTGCTATGTCACTACTGAATTTAGTGTATATCTGGACTATAATCTGAAGGAAGGTGATAAAAGGTTTGGGGACACCTTGCAGAACACTCTCTCTCCCCTGGGGCCCTCCCTGGGAGGAGGTCTGTGTGCTACAGATGCCTGGCCTAGGCCTCAGCATGTGGCAGATGCTGGGGGCCCAGAGACTTTAGATGCTACTGGAAAGGAACCTGATGGAAGCTGGGCTGGAGGTGGAATCTGCTTATTGAGGAGTGCCGCAGAGGAGCTGGTGAAAGCTACCATCTGGAACCCTGTAAGAGATCACTCACCCTATTCTCAGGTACTTTACTGAAGAGAAGCCAGTTGGTGCACTACAAGTCCTGTGACAGTTCTCTTTCAAGGTCCTGGACTATTCCTGGCTGTTCTCTGTGCTACTACATACTACTGGTCGCTCTTACAGGACCGTGAACGCTAAAAAGACCGTAGGACTCAAGCCTGTTCTGTTCCGGAGTGTCGGTGTTGCTAGAGCTGAGAAAGGGGCCAGTGGCTGGCAAAACAGATAGGAGAGCTCTATTTCATATTCACCTACTCCTTTCGGGGGGGGTGAGCGCTACAGATTAATAGCGCGGTATATCATTATTCACCTATTATCACTATATTTATTAGCACTGCAGCTTTCCCACTTTAGGAATGTATTTATTGTTAGTTCTACTACTAGCGCGGTGTACCACCTTTATGCATTCACTGAACTGCAGAGTGAATATTTAGTCAGCTTAAAGTAGAAGTATTGGGAGAGTAAAATTTACATTTCTCAATACTTAGAGCTGGTGTGGGACACTGCAGCTGTCACATGTCGATTCTATACATCGACAGCGATCACAAACCGCTGATCGCTTAGCTTATGGTCTTCTCCCTGCAGGGACTTCCAGTCAACGCTTGCCGCAGGGATTCTCCCCTCTCTCTGTTGCTCCAGAGCTCATTGGAGGGACAGACAGAGGAGGGGGTGGGCACAGCTGGCTCTGGATCTAGAGAGGCAGAGCCAGCTGTCAGTCAGGCAGCAGGGTGGATCCCGACAATACATCAAGATTGTTTCCAGCTACAGCCTGCTAGATGCTGACTTTGGATCACAGATGTACTCCTGTGACCCAAAATTTTCTTTTTCTCTTTCAATATTCCATTCATATTATATATTTATATTAAACTAGACCACACAGGGACTCGTGTACACACACACACACACACACACACACACTAACACAATCACATACAGACACACAAAGGTTGAACTTGATGGACCTGTGTCTTTATTCAACCTCAAATACTATGTAACTATATTTATCATAAGTTATATAATTGCCATAACCAAAAGTGAAATTTATTAGATCTGCACAATGTTATGGCTAAAAATAACACTATAGTTTATTCTAAAACGTAAAAAAAACTTTACATACAGTAGTTAAAGACGTTTCAGTAAAAGGATAAGTTTGGCACCTGAAAAAAGCTGTTGAGTCGCGCAGCCCTACTAGTAATGGGCTCGGAAGATATGGAATCAGTTCCCCCGCGTGGTCCGAACTTGAATTTCAACATTTCTGAAATTACAAATGCAATGAATATGTTATACAAATGTTTATGGTCAATATCACCCTAGATAAAAAGAGGCAACACCACCACACTATTTTTTTGTTTTTTTTGTTCTTAACTGTTGTAGTTTTGAAAGTATATGTTACCATGTTGATGATGTGAATGGGTTAAGAAAAAATAGCAAAATCACTACTCATTAAAGCAGAACTCAACACTTTAAATACATGCTAGTGAGCGGTCTATCTACCAAAGGATATGTAATTCTGTTTAGACAGGCTTGCGATCCAAGCACACCTTCCAGACAGCCCAACCAGGACCCCAACCTTTGATGCAGTTAAAAAGCACAGTTGGCTCTATGAGACACGTCCAGCATGTTGATTGGACAATAAATGAGGAACAGCACAGTGAAGAGGTAATATTTGTGCTTTCCACTCCTGCAAGCATATAAACACTGAACTCACATTTCCAAAGTAACTACAAATGCTAGTTGCCTAACTGTTATGTTGACCCAGTAGCCTCAAGACTGAGTTACCAAACCAAAACAAGCGTGCGGATCAGGAAGATTTTTGTCTAGTTGGACCACAATTGACGTGTTAGTGGTGTTGTACAACAAAAATCTCAAAATGAAAACTGCACGTGCTCAAACGAAAACCTGTTCTTTCGATCTATGAAAATCGGCCAGTTAGTGGTGCTGGGGAACATTAATTGCGAACTACATTGAACTGTGCATGATGGGCTGTTTGAAACGAAAATTGAACGAGGGTGAGATGTCTAGCCATCTTAAGAGACCATTCACATCAGCTGCAGTGCGTTTCGGCCCGATTCTGGCCAGAAACGCACTGCCTCGCATTGCGGCCGGCTCACTTTTTTGTGGGACAGGAGGGGGCGTGGCCGCCATTGAAGTGAATGGCACCGTAACCACGCCCTCCGGCTGCAATGCAATCGGCTGCACGGGATAACAAGGCAGTCCGGTTCGATGAAAATAGTGCTTGCAGCATTTTGATCGGACCGGACCGCAGACATAAAGTGCTTTGCGATCCAGTGCGGCCGATTGCATTGCAGCCCCTCCTGCCCCGCAAAAAAGTGAGCCGGCCGGAATGCGAGGCAGTGCGTTTCTGGCCGGAATCGGCCCGCAGCGCACTGCATCTGGTGGGAATGGGCCCTTAGAGGGGATCTCTATATATATATATATATCTATATACACACACACACACACTTGTTCCTGGTCAGTGACTCAAGAAGCATGGAGGCCAAGGCAACAACATGACTGCCAGGTAACTAGAACATTTACAAGGAATGGTCAGCAGTGGCAGCCTTCTTGATTCTAAAATGGCAGTGCCATTTTAAAGACTGGATGGAAGTCAAAAACAGCTCCTCTAGGCCCCATTCACACTTGAGATTTGGGCAGTCTCATGAATTGCTCCATGACACCCATGCAGACAGCAATTACTGCGGGTGATGGTCCCTGGACGCAAACTGTTTGTGTCCAGAGACGATAATCTGCAAGTAATTGCAGCATGTCTGATTAACTGTGAATGGCCACAGGCAGTCATTGCTTTGCATAAAGGTACCCATACACTGTACGAGGATCGTACAAGAATCGCGGGAAATCCTGCGATCGTACGATAATCGCAAAGTGTATGGAAGGCATGCGACCGTTTCTACTGTACGGTCGCACGTCTTCCGTCGAACAAGCAGGCTGGAAAATCCGACGAGAATCTTCCGATTCTCGCCGGGTTAGTGGCCTGCTTGTTCGACAACTGCCGAACGGGCCGGTGCGCGCACACTGCCCGTTCAGCATTGCAGTCATCAGAAGCCCGCCCCTCAGGGGGGCGGGCTTGCGATGATTGCAAGTACAATCTGCCTGTCCAAGATGGGCAGATCGTACGTTTTTTAAAATTACTTAACACCCCTCGCAAGACAAAAGTCTTGCGAGGGTTGTAAAGTGTATGGCCACTTCCTGCCCGCACGAGTCTCAAGGAGCAATTTGTGAGACCGCGGCAATCGCAAGTGTGAATGGGGTCTTGTATGTATTTCATCTTTGTACCGTATGTAGATGTTTGCAGGACGGCCAGCTGAAAACGGAAGTAAAAAAAAAATAATCCATGAATATAAAATTGCTGGGAGGCAGGGATTTTTGACAGAAGGGACATGCAAAATCACTTCTGTCAAAAATATTCTTACATGTACATGAATGCCCTCTGTGTCTCATTGGGGAGATTTCCTTTCACTTCCTGTTGAAAGCTGCAAGGGAAATCCCTGGTGGGCAGCAAGGTCACCAGAACTAGTTTCCCCACTGGAGGAAATACCATCTCTTCCTGTTCTACTGAAATTTCAGGGTTATTTTTTTTACTTTAAAGTTGGCCATACCTATATTTATATATATTTATGCTGCAGCAGCCGTGTTATTGGTGTCATTTTTAACAGCCAGCGATGGCTGTTAATGTACAAGCGATCTATACAGCCGCCGGATCGTTTGTACCGTGCGGCGCCCTGCTTCCAGCCGCTGATCTCTCTTCCGATCACTGGACCCGGAAGTGATGTGTATTACATCACTTCCGGTGTCACTCTTACAGTCTTGTCATGTCATCAACACTAGTGCTTTCTGGGCCACGCAGGATCCCCTTTATCAGGCTCAGCAATGCTGGTGACATCTATCCATTTTGTACTGAGTGGCGGCGCCATCCGCGATCACAACGAGCACCTCATCCCCCCTTTTTTCCGGTAAGGAGTGCGATAAGGTATCTTTTTCATTTATTTACCCGACGTGACCCAGTCTTTCATATTTTGCAAAAAAATCGGGTATTATGTTTCTGTGCACTCAATTTTAATTTAGTGTATTTTATCCAAAAAATACGTGTTTGATAAACATTTGCGCAAATACCGTGCGACTTAACAAATTGCAACCAGCATTATTCTACAGGGCCTCTGCTTTCAGAACATATATCATTGTTTGGGGGTCTGGAGCTGTTTTCTAGCCAACAAATGTATATTTTATCATGTGTGCGCAAAAAGTAAGAAAATGCTCCGGACATCAAGTGGTTAAAAGCGTTGACAAATGAATCACTTGCTACTTCCTTTGTATTCCGCCAGCAGACGCCAACCGAGTACCTGTAGATTTTCCAACTGGCTCCTTTGATCAGCTGTCCGAAGGATGCCAGCCGAAAGGGTGTCATCAGCAGCACCCACTGTGCAAATTCTTGAGAAACATCCGAAATTCACATAGTAGATGGCCAGTTTAAGTGACTGTCAGGCACCAGGATAAATAGGTAGGGACTGTGCCTTACAAGGACACAGACAGCAATAAAAACCTGACATAATATAATCCCTCTCCACTCCAAACAAAACTAAACAAAAACCCTTTGGCTTGAGTTGTACTTTATGAATAGCACAGATAAACAAAGAGGTCCTTGTAACATAAACATCTGACAGTTGTATTTTGACAGTCAGCTGTAACAACAAAGCACCAGCCTCCTTAGTACACACCCCTGCTGTCTGTAGATGAGGTGCACACCACAGGCTGGGCACCCCGATCTTATAGTAGAAAGACTGGGAGTATACATATCCGGATCGCACCCCATAACAATAACATTATCATTCACTCACCCAGCAGCGATCCTTACCGCCATTAAATTCAAATCCAATATGGACTTCGTGAGGTCACTTCCGGGGCGTCCCGGGGAACTTTTCATTCCAACTCTCAGGGCTCCGTGTGTCTGCCAGCATCTGTTACACTGAGTCGTTTTACTCGGAAACAGAAGCATACAGCATAAACTTGTCTTTTTTTAGATTATATGATGGATGTCCAGTGGGAACAACAGCTCAAAGCACTAGACATGCTGCAGAGCGTTTCCCGAAAGCAAAATGTCCGATGCGGCTTCAATCGTTCACCACCTTCATGGCTAGCCAGGATGAGCTCCGCTTACACTGCTGCCCCCTAGTGGAGATGCTATCATATTGCTAGCTGTCAGTTTCTGGACCGGGTGTGTGAGATGCGTGCGGAATGCTGATTTTCTCCCTAATTTTGATGTAACACAGTAAGAAAAAATACCGGTGCAGTGGGCAACCCCCCGCACTTCAAGTGCTCCTTTTTGTCTAGGGGCTGGAGTAAAGCAGATTTACTAACCGGATCCCCATTTCTCTGGTGGTCAGTCCTCTTCCACTCCTGCAGTCCTCTTTTCCCCTCCACTCCTGCAGTCCTCTTCTCTTCTCCCCTTCACTCCTGCAGACCTCTTCTCTTCCTACCTTACAATCCTGCAGTTCTCTTCTCCCCTCCACTCCTGCAGTCCTCTTCCCTTCCATTCCTGCAGTCCTTTTCTCCCCTCCACTCCTGCAGTCCTCTTTCCCCTTCCACTCCTGCAGTTCTCTTCTTCCCTCTACTCTTGCAGTTCTCTTCTCCCCTTCTGCTCCTGCAGTCCTCTTCTCCCCTTCCACTCCTGCAGTTCTCTTCCCTCCTCCTGCAGTCCTCTTCCCTTCCACTCCTACAGTCCTCTTCTCCCCTCCACTCCTGCAGTCCTCTTCTGCCCTTTCACTCCTGCAGTTCTCTTTCCCCTCCACTCCTGCAGTCCTCTTCTCCCTTCCTGAAATCCTCTTCTCCCCTTCCACTCCATTTACTTTCCTGATCCCCATTTCTCTGGTGGTCAGTCCTCTTCTCTCCTTCCACTCCTCCAGTTCTCTCCTCTTCCACTCCTGCTCTTCTCACCTTCCACTCCTGCAGTTCTCTTCTCCCCTAAGCTCCTGCAGTCATCTTCTCTCTCTCCGCTCCTGCAGTCTTCTTCTCCCCTCCCACTCCTGCAGTTCTCTCCTTTTTCTCCCCTCGGCTCCTGTGGTGGAATATCCTTCGCCTGGAACCAAATCCTTCTGTCCCAATTTCCTCCTCAGTTGTACCTTTTTGGTCTGATGTATGAAAAGGTACCATTGAACTACCAAAAGTGTTTCTCTGCACTAAAATCTTTATCTTTTAATTATATTGTTTGTATATTTTTTAAAACATAATCAAGTAATGGTAAAATAGACACTCCTGGGATAAATCAATCAATGTTGGCATATACATTGTTAATGGTCTGCATAACTGGTGTCTATTGCCTCCATACATTGTGCTGGAAGGTGTCCCTCATTCAGCTCAGAAAGTTGTATTTGTTGTATTTGTTTTTTAATGACAAGGTATTGTGACTGCACTTTTTCATTACAACGTATCTAAGATTAGGGCTGTTTCCTGCTCCTTGTTTATATAGATGTTGTGTTTTCTGGCTGTGTGCAAGATTGTTTGGCCTCAGAGGACCACCTTACTTGTCTCCCAGAGAAAAATTGGAGGTGTACCATGGTAATGTTTTGCATGGAATGTTGGGATTGGCCATTTGTGGGTCCTGAACTGTGGTTCTCCCAATGTAAGTTCTATTTAAAAAGTAATGTGGTCAAACAAGAGTATGGACTTTTTTTTGTACCCTACATGGGTTCTGTGTGCCTTTGAACAGCAAGAGTATTCCTTGGCTGAAGGAGTTAACATGCTCCAAAGTTTAAACCCTTTCCCCAGGCACACAAAAAAAGTACTTTTGCAGTGGGGCTACCCTTGCACTCCAAGGGTTAACTGCTTGTTTATGCCTAGGGTACCCGGGTGATGCACATTTACTTATCTAATTGTCGCTCCCCTGGCAAACAGCACTTACCTCTCTCCCATTCACTCCAGCTCATGGATTGTCCTTTGGCATCTTCACATATAATGTGGGGCTACGGGCCCTGCATTCGACGTGGTGATGTCAGAGGGCCTCCAACCACCGGAATGGAGGAGAAGAGGCTGCAGGTTCCAGTCTTCGAACCTGTGGGATCAGGTAAGTAAAAGTCCTTTACCAAGGTGCCTTAGACAGAACAAGCAGTTACCCCTTAAAGTTTAGTTTTAAACAGAATGTGGAACATTTGGAACCTTTGCTAAGTTTTTATGACTGTCTGTGTCCTTGCTGGGTAGGTTCACCCTCATTCACAACCTTTCTCAATGTTTTTTCAACTGATCAGGTGAATAATAGCAAGGAGACCATCCTAATGCATCCTAATAAGCACTCTGGAAGAAAAAAATGTCTGGAAAGCATCTGCTAAAATCCTTGCTTTGGCTGCAGTCACTGTTTGGGCAAGAATTTTCGTATTGGCTCCTTTGACAAAAGTCGATGAAAAGATTAACTTTTGTCGAACCGAGGGGTGCCAACAGAGCCACACATTGCTCAAATGTAATTGGGTTTCAGTCAGTTTCTAGCAGCTGTAGCAGCCTGTAAGCAGAAATGCTTTTTAAATTTAGTATTGTCAGATTGTATTCAGTCTGATATTGATCTATAGTCTATGCTCATCTGGTTTCCCCTAATCAATCTGTTGTCATTTGCATCTGCCTGCTGCTGGATGTACCCTGGCCACAAGGCAGAGCAATCAATAAAGGATTGTCATGAGTATGTATGTCTCCCTAGCGCCAGGGGTGGCAAACTCCGGCCCTCCAGCTGTTGTGGAACTACAAGTCCCTTGAGGCTTTGCAAGATTCTCACAGCCACGGGCACGACTTGCAGAGGCAAATGCATCATGGGATTTGTAGTTTCACCACAGCTGGAGGGCCTGAGTTTGCCACCCCTGCGGGCCTAGCCAATCACTAGGAGGTTGATGGCCAGTGCTGCATGCTGGGAGAGGAGATAGATCCTTGGGGTGGATCATGTGAGAACTCTCTTCCTCCCTGTGGCCCTGCCTGGGGGGAGGCTGCTACTGATTGGCTAGGCCTGAAGCCTAGGGGACTAGCCATGTGCTTACACTGGGGCCTGAGTCTGGGGTCCCAGTGGCTACTACTGATACCAAGGATGAAGTTGAATGGTGACTTCTGGTTTAAGTGCTGCTCAGCCAGGTGCTCCACACACAGATTGCCCAATCTGGCTTAAAATTCCTAGTATGTGAATGGCAGCAGCTACTGTGTTCCTCTAATTAAAGGAGTCTACACCAGCCTGTATGCTCCTGATCCTAACCCTCTCTCCCAGAAGTTCTTTAATAAAATTCTTCTGCATCATATCTACAGTCTGGACCTCGCTTTTATCTGTCACCACAGAGGGTGGTAAGTGCTATTGGGGCAGCTGATCGCTAAAAATCCCTAGACAGGCTATGGAGGACCCATCTATTCTCTGTGGCTCACTAGCTTAAAAGCAGCTGCTGTGTGTTTACATTAGAGCAGAGATGGCCAAACTGCGGCCCTCCAGCTGTGGTGGAACTACGAATTCCATGAGGCTTTGCAAGATTCTCACAGACATGATTGCCGGAGAGAGATGCTTTATGGGATTTGTAGTTTCACCACATCTGGAGGGCCAGAGTTTGGCCATCCCTGCATTAGAGGATCAGCAGGTTGCCAAGATTTTGCCTCCACAGAAAAAATAAATAAAGTGGAATTCAGCGGCTCTGTTGTGAAATTTGAAGATGAATTTCTCCACAGTGCCTTTAGCTAAATAGGCAAATTAAGGATTGTTTTAAAGTGCTTGTACTGCTTGTTCAGAGTATGTAAAGGACTCATTTAGATGGGCATCTGCTGGCAAGAAAATATCCCCATGGCACCTTGTCTGCAAACAGCCATAGCCAGCAATTATGCTGCCATATAAAATGCTTGTACTGCTTGTTCAGAGTATGTTAAGGGCTCATTTAGATGGGCATCCAAACAGCCATGGCCAGCAACCGCACCGCCAGATTTGTGCCCTGAACATATCAATGGCCAGCACCACCACTGTTTGCATGTAACTGTTCATAACAGTGGTTACCATGGATAGGGCTTCTGACCAGCCCTGGATGCAGACAGTTCATGTCCAGGGCTTGCGGTTCAGGACACAGTTTGTATGGGGTCATAGCACAGAATGGTGATGCATCCAGATGTGGAGTTTAGCTGTATCTAGATGCTGCAGTCTAGATGCCCACCTGAATGATCCATTACTTGAATGTGCATAGTCTAGATTAAATTAAAGGGTGAAATGCATCCGTTTCCGGCGGCGGAGATGAGCGCAGCTGACAGGTAAGTGTGGGGGGGGACTGGGGTAGAAAAAAAGGAGCTGGGCGGTTTTTACCCTAATGCAGAGAATGAAAAAAAAACAAGAGTTTAATCATACTTTAAAGTAGCATTAAGGTCTCTGGGTTTTTTACCTTAATGCTACTTTAAAGTATGATTAAACTCGTTTGTTTTTTTTGTTTTTTTGCATATATCTACTGCTAGGAAGCAGTAGATATATGCAAAAACATAAAAAAAATTACCAAAAAGGTAATTACTGACTTGTGTCTCCGCCGCTCGCTCCCGTCTGATGATCTGAAGCTTCTCGGGTGGACATGAAGGATGATGGGGCGGGCGCATGCACAGTAGAGATCTTCGGCCGGGAGAAGAGGAGAGACACAGGGTAAGTCAATGCTAGCAGCCCGACAGCATGCACGCGGACAGACACCATGGGACACAGAAGACACAGAAGACACAGCAGTAGGCGGTGTATCAGAGACTGACATCAGTGCTGGAGGGACTCCTAAATACAAGTGAAAAAATGTTGAATGGATTGGAGTGGACGTAGAGTTTGGGATCTGCTGAGATTTAACTAGCCTTTTAAACCACAAGGAGATTTGAGTGTTACTTGGAGCTCAATGTACTCAGTGCAACTTATGAGAGGTAGCCAAAAGAGACCTGGGGTATGAGTTAGCTGCCATTTGCCAACCTAAGACATGGTGTTTCTGAAGGCAACACCTTAGACACTGCACCTCAGAGAAAACTGATATGCAGCTTTGATTCCTAACAAGTGTGCTAACATCCACCTTTTTTGGGTAAGCATCTAGCAGCTGTCTATGGGGTGGTATTGTGGGTAAGGGGGTTAGATGGGGGTGGTATTGCGGGTAGGAGGGGTTAAGGAAGAAGATGATCGGATTGGGGGGGAATTGTGACTTTTAATGTCACTTTAAGAACCAGTGGGACCGGGATCAGGTAAGTAAAACTGCTTTACTCTAAGCATGAATGAGCAGTTAACCCTTGCAGTGCAGGTGTAGTAGCCCCACTGCAAGTGAAGGTGTTTTGTTTGCCCAGAGATATACTTTATTGTGGCTACCATCTTCAGAGATCTGTTGGCCATCCATGCACAGCCTAGCTACTGCTACTGGACTGCAGCAGTGGGAATGCAGGCACAGTCTTGGGAGAAATAGAAATTGATTGGCAAGGAAACCCATCACCCATCAATTTGTCACCCCAAGGGTGTGTGGCCAGAGGGATTGAGGAAAGCTTTCAGATGTACAAGCATTTTTTTCTTTACCAAGAGCCAGTTTTGGACTGACATACTTTCATGTGAACCTTTAGAACTACACCCTGAAGATGAGAGCGCTGGCTAATCTGGCAGCATGTCATCTGCCGCTAGAGGTGCGCACACGCAGCTGATCGCGCAACCATCTGCACCCAATGAGCGGCTCCCACCGAACAGGTGTTGTTGACGTCACGGGCTGCGCACGCACTGCCAGAGCCTTGCAGAGATGGGTGCGGGGGAGCGCGGCGCTAAGGGGCAAGGAGAGCGCAGCGCAGCCCGAGGCCTGCGGGGCCCAACACGTCCGCATTAGCTTCAGTGGGTGGGG